AGTATGTTAACCTGCCATACGGACGACTGAGGTAAAATTCTTAAAAAGTAAACCTGTTCTCAGCAGGTGTGTAGGAGAGTCCAGCCCTAAGAGAAAGAAGTGGTGATGACGTTGGAAGGAGGACAAAGTTGTAACTCAAAGTGGGAAGGCATCAAAGGGGACCCAGAAGTGGGCTCTGCCATCCTGGGGCCTGCTCTGGGGGCCGTCCTGCTGCTGGGATGGCTGCTTCGGATGCCTGGGGGAGCCCCTGACACAAAGGTGCCCCCGGCCTACAGTGTGGAGGAGGCTGGGGCCAGTGCAGGACTGCAGAGCCAAGGCTACCCCTGGCTCAGGTCGTTTCTGATTTGAATCATCACATCCCAGTCTCAGATCATGGGCACTGCAGACGGGAGAGACCTGCCTCTCTGCAGGCCATGCTGCTTCCGAGGGCTGACCTAGTTTTCTCCTCTGGACTTTGTTCCTTCTTTGTCCCTAAATAGACCTTCACACCACACTATGCTCACTGCTCAAGCCTGGGGCGAGGAAGCATCACCAGGGTAAAAGCCTCTCTTAAGGTTCTCTGCCAGTCACAAACACATATTCATTTATGAGGGCAGTGCTCCATGATCCTGAATCTCTGCCAACCAAAAGAAAGCTGCGCACACACCGCTGAACTTTTACAACTCTACGACTTGGAGTACATGAGGTGTGTGTCATCCAGCTGTAAATCTCGTTGACAGTCCTGCCCCACTCACTGGCCACTAGGCAGCTGGATTTCCAATTGCAGCCGGCGCACAGCCAGCCTATCAACCCTCTCTTCTAAATGCTTTCCAGCCATTTCACATTATTCTTGTAGCTCCATCCACCAGGCCATTTCTATGTCTCCCTCCTTCCATCTCCCTGAGTCCCCCAGACACAATAACTAGCAGAATGCACTGGCACGTACATCGGATTATTCTTTTCATTGTGTCTGAGACAACCTGCTTAATGTTCAGACATACAGGGAAGAAAAGGCAAAATATTTTTGCTTTAGACCCTTTCAGAAGGTATAAAAAAATGAAGTACCAACCCAAATCACTTGACGATTTTATGATTAAAACCAACAAATGGAAAACAGAGTTTTGGGTGTTGCCAACACAAACAAGCAATTTATGCCAACCTGCTCAACCACCCCACTTCTCGGATCTATTTCAAGAGGTACCGAATGTGTCTGAAGATGACATCACTTTTGCACATCAAAGATGACCCAGTGTTCAGCAAGGAGACAGAACTCCAGGTGGAAAGCCACTGGCTCATGGGAACACCACGTCCGGTTTTATTAACACTCGAAAGTCAGGTTCCCAAGAAACGCTTTGGTTCTGTGAACATGTGTAACATGTCAAAATGTTCAAGGTAACTGAGGAAAATGACACGAGCATGTTTCACCTTTGGGTAAGGGATGGTGACTTTCCAGGAAGACACTGTTGGAGACACTGGGAGGGGAGTCGGATGGAAGACGTTTAGCATTTGCTTCGGGAAAATGACACGAGCATGTTTCACCTTTGGGTAAGGGATGGTGACTTTCCGGGAAGACACTGTTGGAGACACTGGGAGGGGAGTCGGATGGAAGACGTTTAGCATTTGCTTCGTTCTTGTCTGAGAAGAACAAGAAATCCTGGAAGAGGTCCCCCATGGAACTGTAAGCACAGTCCCCAGTGCACAAGTCTGCGGTGGGGCTGAGCAGTCACTACAGTGGTGGAAGCTATTTTAGTCACTTGGCCAAAAACCATCCAAGAGGAGGGAACTTAAAACCCCAGATGACTTGACTCTCCCTGCATTTTTCTCCTTGAAGCAGGATAAAAAGCCTCAAATTTTGGCTGCAAGTCTATTTATGTAACAACCACAGCTGCTCCCCAAAGTAGCTGCTGCTGGCTGAAAGAGTGAAGGGATTTAGTTGCTAACACGTGAGTCCATTTTCTACAGCACTCGACTGCGTTTCCTTCCCCTCGTGTTTGCTGACCCAGGTCTAAAAGGAGAGGAGGACTCTCAGCATTAGCACATCCACGGTGCCATCGATTACGTGGACGGATGTTAAAGTCAAGGCTCCTCTTCTCAGCAAGAACAAATTCAACTCTTTATTCTATTCTGTGGCAGGTGACCTCTTGACTACCCTGACCACCTAACTACCCACCTTCAGAGGGTGGCCATGAAGCTGATATCTAGGCCCCCCAAATTCACAACCCCAAAAGAGAGAAACATACAGTGCTACTTCTGCACTGTGGGGGGACAAACACAAACCTAGACTGCTGGCATCACATTTAATAGGGTGCCCTCCCCCGAAAGTAACAAAGGGAACCCTCATCAAAGCGATCAAACGTGTTAAAAAAATACAAAAGTTATTTTCTCCTTTTGATTGCTATCTACTTGTGACAATATTTGTTAAAAATATTACTTCTGTATTTGAGAAGAGCTCACTCTCTTCGTATAGTATGGAAAAATAAACTCTACTGAATACACAGTCAACATTCCCACCACTGCCAGGGGCTGTTGGCTTTCGTATCTCCAAATATCATCACCAGTGTAAATGTGCTACGTTTTCGAGTAGGCAGACACTTTTCACTGTATTATCCAGTGCTGGACCTAAGAGAAAAAAGGGGAGTGGCAAGGCTTAGGTAGCATTTTGAAGGGGCAGAATTATGAAATAGGATGGCCTATTTGCTAACAAAATGAAAGGTAACAGGGTGGTTTCAGGACCTCCTAAAAATTCATGGGATGTCCCCTCATCTCTTCTGACCACTTATAGCCCTGGTAATGCTTGGTAGATTATTGATGAAAGGGCAGGGAGCCATTTAGGCTCATTATCAGCATCACTGCAAAGGAGGGTTCAACTTCCGCACCCAGGATCATCTTAAAACACTGAGCTGGATGAATGGGAGAAGACAAGGATACATAAAAACAGTAAAATGTTTATTTTTTTTTAGAAAAAAAAAGTGAGGAAGAGGGATTCAAAATGATTGTGATCACACTTCCATCTGCATCTGAGCAAAGCCAATGTTGCAAGCTTAATCCTTGATTAAGATACCTGTTAAATGATCAACCTGCTGCTCACGCCTATGTCACTTCCAGGAGTCATGTCACAACATGCTTTTAATTGATAATAGCTTCTCTACTTTTTGTGAGCAGAGAAACAAGGCTTGCCATAGCAATCATCCCATCTCCAAAGCTCAGCATTGCCAGTGAGAAGCAAGGCTCAGTCCGTCTCTGGACCACTCGGGAGAGACGGGGAGGAAGGAAAGAGGGCAGGAGATGCTTGTGTTAGAAGCGGAACCACCTAGAGCAGAAGTCTGATATCTGAGTTCGCCACTACCTCATCTTATACAAAATAGGTTGGAGAGCCTCTGTAAAACCAACAGTATGTTTAAAGTGAAACTGCAGAAGTTTGCTGCATACCTGGACACAAGAGAAGTGAAAAGTTGCAACAAGTTTGAACTAGCAGCAACAAAGAAAGTTCGGTAACAGTTTTTTGTTTGTTTTGTTTTTAGCAATATTCCTTTGCAAGTTCGTTAAGAAACACTGTAATTTAATGGGGCATACGATATGGAACGATCTTCTTTTGCTATAGTGTTGTTCATTGAAGAGAACCGACCTTTGCAAAGATTTCAACTGGGGTGTAACCTATTTACACAGTAGGAGCTCCTGGTTTGAGTGGCAGAATTGGTGCTATGTGATATCCTCTTCTTCCGAACAATAATCCCGACCCTTGGAGGAAAAAAGAAAAAAGAACAATGTGTGAATGAGAAATTCAAATCACAGCCTGCAACAGTTACTTGTAGTCAATTTTCTCTCAGTATATGAGGGCACTTCAAAAAGCTCGTGGAAAATAAAATCGAAAATTAACACAAATCTCCATGAACTTTTTGAAGTACCCTTGTATGTCTCTTTGCAGCAGAATCCAGGCTGTATCCATGATTAGTGGACACAAGGTAGGTCGATCATAAACACACATTGGCTGACTTATAAGCCATATACACCTCAACGCATAAGAGTTTTACCAAGCCCCAAATAACCTCTTACTTTATATTTGTAAGAATTTATACTACCAACAGGCGTATACAAGACTCAGCCTTTCACCAAGAAATTACCAAATGGACAATCCTTTCACGAGACCAGTTCTTCATCAGGAAGAATGAACCGGTCACTTTCAGTTGTTAACATTCTACAGCTACATCCACACGCTTGGAACTTAAAATTTTACAGAGGGAGACTGTATAATCCAGGGATGCCTTAGTTTTAATTTCTCTAAAATGGATTTAAAAAACAAGTGAGGATTCATGGAACACATATAACATGTCTAGGACCATGCTTGTTATGTGTGGGATGCATCAGAAAGGCAAAGATACTTTTAATTCATTTGCTAACAAGTTACTTGAAGGATGAGGGACTATATACAATGGTTACTTTTGAACATATTTTATCCCCTCTCCACTAGGCTATACAAGGATACTTCAAAAAGTTCATGGAAAGATTTGTTTTATCTCACAATTCTATTTTTCCATGAACTTTCTGAAGTACTCTCATATACTCTATGAAGACATCGTGGGGACTGGGCTTTAGGCTCCACATCTGACCTAGCTGGGTTGTCTTGGTCAAAAACATGCAGTTTTCCTCCTTGGTCTGTAATGTGTCTTTTTTCTCACAATTCTATTTTTCCATGAACTTTCTGAAGTACTCTCATATACTCTATGAAGACATCGTGGGGACTGGGCTTTAGGCTCCAAATATGACCTAGCTGGGTTGTCTTGGTCAAAAACATGCAGTTTTCCTCCTTGGTCTGTAATGTGTCACCGATAGCACAGGACAAAAGCACCTATCCTGCCTGCATCACAATGTCATAGATCAGGGCTCTGTACAAAGTCAGGTATTATTATTATTATTATTTGCGTCCTTTGCCTTTTTCTTTTTAAACAAATACTACATGTCTAATTTGGGGGGAAATGTTCTTTTAAAAACAGAATTTTCAAAATAACTGAAACATTTCTAAAAGTACTGTGCGTCCTTTGCCTTTTTCTTTTTAAACAAATACTACATGTCTAATTTTGGGGGAAATGTTCTTTTAAAAACAGAATTTTCAAAATAACTGAAACATTTCTAAAAGTACTGATACTTAAAGACAATAATAATCAAATGTATTACATGTTTTTTTGTCATATTATCTGTGTATCAGAAATATTCCACATTTTCCTAATATTTAAGCGTCATCATAATGAATAATTGTACCATGTGGCTGAGTGCTAATCCTGGCTCTGTGACTTACTAGCCCTGGGATCTTGAACAAGTTACCTCCGTGTCTAGGCTTCCTCATCTGTAAACTGAAGATAACCACAGAACCTACTTTACGGGCTATTGAAGATTGTGTTAACAGTAATAACATGATTAAATAGTGCCTGGCACATAATTTTATCTATGATGTGTACACACACATATGTGTTTGATAAATAAAAATAATCTGCTAACAGTGAAGTCTCCAGGCTGGTGGAAGCAGGAGGCGTCATCTATTCCCGTGCTAAATGGCCCCAGATTGCTTGTTGTCTTAGCATGATTCACTACTTGGCATGTTTTGGTTTCCTCTATCATCAGATTGCTACCTCCCACCCCTGCTACTCGCAGTGACCAGTGTCATCTTCAGGCTTGTTTTACTTGCTGCATAAAAACTTCTTCCGGGCAGAGAAACAATATTCCTGAGAAGAGAGAAGTCTACTTAGCATCCTCCATAAACAGCCTCCCTGGTGACACTGCCAAGCAGACAGGCCACTCAGGAGACACACTCTGAGTCACCTGTTGGAGAGCTGGGAAGGAGACTTCCAGGTCTCTGACCATTGGGAGTTTATTTTCCAATGTGGGAAATAGGACACATACAAACCTATCAACACGATGCTATAAATATCAAATGACACTCTCCAGTATCCTCAACTCACAAGGCTCTTGGCAGCAGACCTGCAATTGAATGCTGGCATTCAGGTGGAGACGGAAGGCAGGGCTCGTGGAGTTTCACGGAGATTTTATTAGGAAAGGAAATAGGACACTTTCAGTGTATACATGTATATACCCACTGTTGTTTGACATTGGGCAAATCACCCGGCTTTGCTTTCCTGAGGATAATGATGGTCTCTGTCCCATAGGGTTGTGATCAGGACTAAATGGGAAAAACAGAGTGTCTGGCAGGTAGTCAACAAGTGTTAGCTGCTGCTACTATTACTATCACTACGACCACTACTATTACTGTAATGGCTGTTATTGTAAAGCCTGTTTGTTCAGTCCCCTGACACGGGAATAGGGACCTGCTTTCCTGTGGCTGTCAGGTGAGTGAAGACTGTGGTTATAAGCTGTGATCTGACTGGCAAAGGGAACCCTTCCTCCGACCTCAGCCTCGTACCCCAGACAGGCCAGAACTCCATGTACACAAATAAAGCTTCCAGGGTTGAAACCAGAGTCCCTTCCCTTCTTACATCTAAATGAGGCCACGAATCAAAGCAAAGACTCAGCCAGTGAATATGGGGTTTAGAGGCACCTCATCCATGAGGAAGAACTGGGAAGCAATGACAGATACACACACACACACACACACACACACACACATAGACACACACACACGCGCACACACACACACATAGACACACACACGCACACAAGAACTGGCACACTCACTGATAAAGCAGCGTCTCCAACTCTGTG